ACCAAGGAAGTTTAGGCAGTCTAAATACACATATGTGAATTGGGGAGAGGGGAGTCCTAAGTTGATTAGCCTATAGGATCAATCTGTGCAATGTCCGGTAATCCTCCTCAACTAGAGGGGCTACACGTGACATTAGCGCGCAGGTCATCATATCCTTTTACTATCCATTACCCTTCCCTTGGTGGTTATATAAGCGAGTTTAATTAACGAACTCTAAGCGTGCTTTACCCGTCCTTTCCTTGTGACCCCGGAGGCGTTTAGGACCTCTATACTCAGGCAGTTCTAGATACTCCTAAGGTATTTAAAAGGTAAAATCTAAGCGACAACAAAGATCACATAGGACTGCCAAATAGGGAAACAATTAAGGGCTCGTGTTTGCCTCCACACATAAACAGATACATAGCACGTCTCAAACAACTGATTTTTGAAGAAATTCAGAAAGCCTTAGAACATGATATCTAGATGAACATCACAAACACAGAATATGCAGTTTTTGTTTTAAGGCAAAGTGGCGGAATCCTAATCAGTTTGCCTACTGATTTTGAAGCCCGTTAAACCTGGACAATTTCACACCTAACCAGAATCGAATTTCTCATTTAATTGCCTAAGGCTTGCCTAGGCGTGGGCCTGTATGCAGTTATAATCTGGGAACTAATTAAACAACTTGAAGTTATTTAGTCCTATAGGCATGCTGGTCTAGGCGATTGATGTTACAAAACTGATTTCATGCAGGTGTATATTAGAACATGATAGCTACGTGTTGGACTGTTTTAAAAACCCTTTTTCATAGACAGTTATTGAATTAAACGACGAAGACATGGTTTAGAGCAAATGCAAACAGATTCCTAAGGCGGGATCTCTAATGCACAGAGAGATGGTCATTTATTAAGCATGATTATAGTAATGACTTAATGACGGGATTTCCAGGTGATAATAATTTATGCAAAGTCAGAGAAAGAAGTGATGAACTTATAACATGTTTCTAATATGCAAAATATAAACGCGAGTGTCCTAAGCCATGTTTTCTAATGCAGATATTATAGACTTATGACATGTTTGATGCAAGTAACATAGCATATGGGCCTAGAACATGATTTCTACCATAACATGCACTCAAAGCAGGATTTCTGTTGCAAATATGTATATAAACCAAGAGCTTGATTTCTACTATGTATCGATCTAAAGCATGATATCTACCTAATTTCCCACAAACATCATTGAGGAATCCTCCCTTTTTACTAATCACCCCCAACATCTGTTTACAAACAATATTATTACATACCAGGATCAAATGAATTACATAAGCAAATGAAACTATGCTATAGGAGCCTAAATCAGGCTCAAAGTAAACCTGGGAAATGCCAGGCCTTCAACAGAATCTCAGAAGCCAAAGATCTCATAGCCAATAATGTGTGTCTTGATGTGTCAGAGTTCCCTAAGGACCTCCAGGATCCCGGGCAGTGCTCACACCAAGACCATCTCTCAAATAGGATTAGTTATGTGCAGTGTGAAAGGGCCAACCCTGGTATGCCAGAGTTCAGAGAAATCTCAAGGATCCCTAAGCAGTACACATACTAGAGGGGCAGAACTTAATAGTCTAAGAGTAGAAGTGAGAGTGCTTGACATAAAACAGTGTTGAAATAAACTTCAGGAGTGAAAAAGGTTTTCAGGAATAGACTCAATTTTAGAGGAAGTATCAATAGTGAAAAAAATAGTTTGAGATCAAGAGCAATCACACAGACTTAGAATGCTTAGAGTCACAATCATTCAACAATCAATTTGCAAATAGGGGTCAAAGGGGATAGGACATAGAGAGTTGAATCATACAACAAGGTCTAGGGGAGCATATGGAGCAACAACTATACAGAACAAACAAGGGTCTAATAGTTCAGAGACTTAACAAACTAGTAATGATAAGAAGCAATTAAGACATAGTCATGTTGAAGACAGGGTGTGTACTCATTAGGATCAACCAAGTATACTAAACAACTAAATTAGCAACATGATTACACCAATTAAAGAGAGTAAACATGGCTGAATAAACATGCTAGTAGAATATCAAACAGTCAGGTGAGACTTGGGCATGCTGATTACACATTTAACAAGAGAAGGCATAATTTAAACATGCCGACTAAAGCAGTAAACATGGAAACAAATTGAGTAACTAGTACAGGAACAAACATGGATGTATAGACATGGAACACATAAGCTTAAGTTTCAAAATTTAACTAGAGACATACCAGTTAAAGAAGAAAATGCAGAATATGAAAAACAGGTGCAATTCCACTATCTAGCCTTGCCTTTCAGCCGGCTAGACCCACAGTAGCACAAGTACCAAAGAAAGGAGAGAGAGTTTGAATGTATGTATGTGTATTCAGAACAGTGTGTTCGTGTTTTAAGAGGCAGAATGAGAATGTATATATAGCACTTTAGGGAGTGAAACAAATAAGGTAAAGAGAGTCACAGTTCAATCAATTAGAAGCAATCAACCAATTATGGAATCAATTCTAATTGAGATATCTGGAAAAGGCCCCTTTAATTGGGGAGAGTCAGTTAACGGTCAGAACTAGGACTCAAATAAGGTAATAAATCAACGCCATACCATATAAGGTATGGCGAAATCAATCAAATCCCCAAACTACGGATAACTAATTAAGGCAAGTGTAATTAGTCACAATAGGGAAACAAGTAAAAATTCCGAAAAATACTGATTTTAATCAGGAAAGAATTATTCAAATTCCCTAAATAGAAATCAATTAAGCAACAAAATCCCAAAGAATACTGGATTTAACAGGAAAATCACTCAAATCCCTAAATAGAGTCAGTTAATACGACTAGTTTACAGAAATAAATATAATAGAAGAAATCAGTGTTACCATCAGATACATCTAGGGTTCGAGCATACATACGAAAATAAACATGTAAAGAGATTACTAGATTAAAAATTTGAAAGTAGAAAAACCTCTTGAAGAGAAGTCTGGGAAGAACCCTAATTTCAGAAAAAGTGAATAAAATCAAAGCAGTTAACTAAACAAAGGATTTTCAAAGGAAAATACCAGAAAATACTCGAACCGTTTCAGATCTACAAAGATCTGAATGGATTCGAGTAGTTGCAAAACTAGGGTTTTCAAAACAGCAGAGATAAAGAAACTCGGTCAAAACCCATAGATTCAAACTAAAGCAGGAGGAAAATTTGTACTCACAAACGAGAACGGCCCTAGACAGGCCATTAAACAAGTTTCAGGCAAGAACTAGGTCGAATATTCATGAGATTCTGCTAAGGATCCATGAAATCAAGCAACCAGGGAGCGTACACGGTTGGTAATGGTCGGAGAATACTCAGAATCTCCATAGATAGGAGCTCTTCACACGTGACGGCGATTAGGGTTAGGGGTAGATCGAGAGAGAATGGGAGAGGTTAGCGGGGAGAGGACGGCGTGTGAGGGAGTGAATGAGAGGTTTGGGGGAGGTCGTTCTAGGTTAATTAGGTAAGTTTTAATGTGGACCATTGATCTAAAGGATCAACGACCACGATTTGATGGGGGTTTGGGTCGGGTAGGTGCAGATTGGGCTTAGGGTGAATTGGGCTGGTATTATTAAGGGGTTAGGGCCGGTATTAAAGGGTTAGGTCCGAAAATTAGAGAAATTAAAAAGGCTGTTTGTTAAATACCCAAATAATTGATAAAAAATATTTTATAAAATAATTATCAATAAGAAAAAAAATTCATGCATAGAAGTGTTTTAAAATAATTATTCAATATTTTAAAAAATATAATGAACCAATTTTTCGTAAAATAATGCAGTGACGTATACATGGACTATAATTGCAAAATTGGTGCAATTGTAACCAAAAGGTGTAAATCTGGCCATTTGTGAAATAATTTGAACTTAATATAACTATAAATAGCAATATTAAGTTATGAAATGCTATAAAGCCATTTGTGATGCAATTTGTAATTACTTATATAAATAAAATACTAGAATAAGTTAATTTAAAATATAGAAATTATGAAAAAAATGTCCATTGATGCTAATGCATAGTCTTGAAGGTATATATGCACTTTTGAAAATATTATAGGGAAAAATTGGGTATCAACAGGGAACCTCCTTCTCTTTTTACGGATCTATCCCTTCTTGTATGCGTACGTCCTCCTCCCTTTGTGTCACACTTTCTCATGATGTTTATACCAAATACTTTCCTTACCCATCAGCCCTTAACCGGAGTACCTAAATTTTTAGAATATCCCATAGGATATTTCTCTAGAATATCTAAGTGTTGAACTGGTTGTTCGGACCGAATTGAGTGTTCGACCTCGACCGTAGCCAAATCACTTGCCAGCATATCGCTTCCTACACGCAACTTCGGCTTGGTTACTTCTTGGTTGCTCTTCCTTAAGTAGAATTCCTTTGATCAGATTTTGACCCATACACTCCTAATTCATATCTAAATATATAATTAACTAGAAAAAGTTAAAAATGAAGCCAACTTTTCACCAAAACCAATTGAATTTTCAATATAAGAAGGGACCCAAGTTGCTGGTGGCGCAAATTATTAGCTGGTCAATGTTTGCCGGTATAACTTATTCTCATTTGGTGTTTACATCCACCCAATAAATATATGACTCGTATCTTTACATATAGTTTCATCACTATTCCATAGTTAATCAATATGCATGCATTCTCAGTAATTTTGGCCTTTTTTTTCTTCTTCTAAAGCAAACAATGTTTGTTTCTGTTTTGGAAGTATCTACCTAAATTATTCTTTATCAACAGCGACCTATATATTCGGACAAAAAGAACATAAACATTTTGTAACACTCCTTTTGCTGCTTATTTCAAGCTAAGTAATAACATTCCGCTGATTTACTTATGGGACAAGAAACCGGCCTTTCTGTATCAGGCACTATTACAATTGTAAGTTTTTTAGTCTCATTATAAATCATTCATATTAAGAACAAAACTCGAAGCTTTATAATTTTTTCATAATTTAATTGAACCAATGGCACAGCAATTATAAATCATTCATACTAAGAATGTTCTTCATGACTCGATACAACTCTTCAAAATGAATTTTGTTGACAACAACAACAACGTCTACTACTATTACTAAGCCTCAGTCCCAAACAAATTTGCGATCAGCTGTATATAATTAAGAAAAGATTTGTTGACACTACTAAAAAAAGAACTTGTCGCTGATATAGCAGCGACGTATCTAAAAATCAAAACAAAATGCTACAGATGCTCTTTCTTTATTTAATTATGCTTATCACTAACACAAAAAACGGAATCAGTAGATTGATTCTTTATTTCGAGATGTATGTAACCAATCTTCTGTTAATTAGGTTGGAGAAGTCTTCCATGGCTTTGTTCCTCAACAACTGCAATAAAGAATCCTCCGTGAGAAACAAATTAATTAATTCAGCCACGTACGTAAGTATTTAATTTACTAGTTACGCATTTTATATAAATTTGGAATAATAATTACCTTCGTGAACACTAGTTGAGAGGTGATGAGCTTGCACTGTGGAACTCAGGAAAATGGGATAATGATGCTGCAGTTTCGTTGGTAGTGGAAATGGGACTCTTATGAGGCATAGCGATGGGATTATCTTGAAGCAAATTATCATTAGTAGAGATAACGATGTTCTTAGAAGATAAGCTAGGACATTTAGGAGACAAAGTAGCATTTGTAGAAATGGGATTGTTGGGAGCTGATGATGATTTGATGCTATTTTCCGTTGATTTAGGGGAATCGTCAGGCCGAATAAATGACGTTACAGCACCCTTCATCTTCTCCACTATACCTGTTAGGCCAAATTAAACAGAGTTGTGAACGACTTTATTGAGAAAAAACACATACAGACATATATACTATTCTACGTTACCTTTATCACCAGAAGCTGCTTGCCTAGGGCTCATAGCCTCAGTTATGATTTGAGAAAGTGATCTCTCGCCTTCACCAGGTTCAAATTTTTCTACAAAGTACTCTTTTACTGAAACACCTTTGTCCCATTTTCCTGGGCTGCTAATACCACTAGCATTCACATTACTCTCAGCAAAATGACCAGTTTTTGGCGCTGCTTGCTCGTTCCCAGATTCTTGCTCGTTGCTATTTGTTAGAGTGAGGCCTGAAATTTTTGAAGCAATAGCGTGGGTTGCATCAGAGACTGCAGCATAAGCTGGTGCTAACTTCTCTGTTACAGTTTCTGTTATGGTTTTACTGGGGCTATCAGGTAATTTCTCCATATTGTCTTGTTCAATAAACTCATGTTTGATGCTGGTCGGAACAGCATGCTTCTCGGATACCACTGGATCTGCTCGTGGGTGTTGTCGTGCTGCTTCTTTATAAGCCTCAGGTGCCAGTTCTGATTCATACACTAAAGACAACAGCAGGAGTACACAAGCAATATAATATATCATCTCAAGCAAATATATACTCATTGAAGAAGCTAAATTTCAATAAGAAAAGGAAAAAAATCTAATAAGCTTATTCAATTAGTTGACTATAATAATTTTCTTGACAAGCTATTAAAATTTATCTGCCAAAAAATACCTTCAAATAACAATGATAATAAGCAGTAGGTATATATGGGGTTTCCAGCTTGGGATCAGGGGCGGAGCTAGGTAGACGCAAGGGGTTAGTTGAATCCCTTTCGCCGAAAATTACAATGTATATGATCAAATCTTTTTATCATGTATATACATTAGATGATAAATTTCCTTAGTATTTTACGTGTTAAACTTTTTTATGAATCCCCTTGGTGACAATTCTCTGCTTCCACCACTGCTTGAGATATGAAGATCATTCAATTCTGTCTAAATCCACGATTAACTGTGTAAAATTTCTTTGTGATCATGTTAAGGTTCGTACTCTATTAATTCATGTTGTTACGAGGCTACATTTACTAGCACTGCTTTATAATTGGAAAACGTTGGCTTTCTTCACCATGGTTAGAACAGAATGTAAATCTACACTTGTACCGATTGTTCTTAATTGAATATGAAAGATGTAGAAATAATGATCGAGTAATGTAAAGAACATATTACTTGGAGCACCAAGATATTCAGGATCTTCATCTTCTTCTTCTTCTTCATCTTCATCATCCAAAGTAGGGCCCCATGAAGTGTACTGTTATCGTCGTGGTTGTGGACATCATTTTCATGCAGCTTCTTCTTGCCACTTAAACTGTATTTGAGTTTCTTTGCTTTTTCCTCACTTTGGTGATAACTGATTTCTTGCCATGAGTTGGTGTATATTTTCTTCTTTCATAAAGCTGTTGGGGAGGTTATTTGTTTGAACCAACTTCCTTTTCATTTCCTAATCAATTCAGTATTAAAAAGCCAGTAAATATAAAATGAAATTAATCTCAACATGCTTAATTAAAGTTTTCAGAGAACTAAATAACCTTGGTAGAAGTTGGTTCAAAAGTTCGGTGAATTGGACTTGGGAGTTTTGGATGTCCCTGCGAAATTTTTTGTAATGGATTCAGCTTGCAGCCATTTGTATCTTTGTACGAGAATGCTTTTTAAATTCCTGTCTTGAAATCTTCCTATAGTTTTGTCTGTTTATTCGTTTCTGCCCTGGGTTTTTTTCAGCTTTTCTTGCAAATGAGAAAATTTAGAATAAACTCACGGTAAGTAAAGTTAAAGC